AAAAGAACTCACAGCAAAGAAAGACGGGAATGAAAGGGTGAGAGAATGTAAGTTTTTTGTGAGAGCGGAAGACGGCAAAGAAGATACTCTGGTGACAGGAGTTATGACAGGTGATCTTCCAAACAAGACAAAAAGAGAAAAAGACAGACAGACAGACAGAGAAAGAGTGAGGGAGGGAGGGAGGGATAGGGATAGAGAGATAGAGATGGATAGAGAAAAGGTGGAGAGAAAGAGCGATATGAATAGAGAAAAAGTGATAGAGATGAATATATATATAGAGAGAGGGAGGGGGACGGAGAGAGGGAGAGATAAAGAGCGATAGAGAGAAAGAAAGAAAGAGTGCCATAGAGGGAGATAGAGAGCGCGAGTGATAGAAAGAGGACGTGGATGTTCGTCCTTTTGCAGGAAGATTTTTTTGCCCATAAGCCTCTTGGTTTTGTATCTTTTAGCGCACCTTCGCCGCCTGCTACAGAGACTGCAGACTGCAGCACTATACACCCGACCATCAGCAATAAGAAGAATCCAGACACTGCACCGCAGCCGAAGGCAGCACAGCAGAGGCTGCAGCGGCCGTTTCTGCCGCTGGCACTGCTGTGCGCAGCTGCGGCAGGTTCAATCTCCGTTCCATTGGGAAAGGGAACGGATAGAGAGGAGAGCTCCTCATTCCAACGGGGGAGAGGGGGTACACCCCGTGTGGTAACGGGAGCGCGAAGGCCTGTTCCATGCAGCATAGTACCACCAGAATGAAGCGTACAGCCACTGCTGCTGCTGCGTAGACTACACCTGTTTGGGTTGCAAGTGTCTCTGTGACTGCTTCTTAGCTGCTGCTGCCGCTCCGCGGGCGAACTGCTGAATTGCTCCGAGTTCCTCTGTAGCGGCCTCACACAGCTGCGGTATGGCTGGCATTCGAGGGCGGCAGACGCCAGCCGGAGAGAAACAGAACGGCGGCGAAGGGCTGCTGCTGCCGAGGCTGCTAGAGGGAGTGACGGGCGCGCAAGTACAGAGCAGCACTTGTTGTCGTTGCTGGAGCAGCTGCTGGTGTCGGGGTGTTGCGGCACATTGTGGGGAGTCGGATCTTCTGGAAATGTTCGCTGCCGCCTCCTGCAGCAGCTGCGAGCAGCAGCAGCAAACCCGAGAAGGGTCTGCTGCGTTGCAGAGACACTGGCGGATCGGGAGAGGGGGCTTGCGGAAAGACCAAAAGGGGGAGGTATGACAAGGGTTTAGGGGCGTGGCATGTTGTATTACAAGAAAATGCTTCTTCTGTTGTGTATGTCGTTGCGCCGATTCACACGCAGACCAGCGTAACACCGGCACAGGGGCCCCCTAGCTGCAACGGAAGCCGTGGTCGCTGTTTCTTGCAGCCACAGTGGGCATTCAAACTTCAGAAAGAGAGGGCGTTCTGTTGAATATGAGCATTGAACTTCATGAATGTGCGCTCCAACCTCAGGACCTGCGTCGGCAGCAGCACCGGCTGCCGCGGATGCTGTGTAGGCACTCCTATCGTCCGCATCCTCTGCAGATACACCTGGAGGACTCTCCTCATCAGGAGGTGCACCATTGACTGTTATGCGAGGGCATTCCGTACCTCCGCTTCAGAAAACACATCGGCAAGCAGGCTGCGTGTGCTGCTGGTGTGCAGCTCTGGCGGGAACGCCAGTCACTCCCAGGTGTATGTACACTCGGGCCGCCGCCTCCGAGGCGGAAGCGCTCATAGAGTGTCAGAGCTAGCTGCCACAAGGAGTCCAGCAGAGCCTGCTCGGACGGAGCAGGAAAGTGAGCCTTCTGACTCTCAATCAGACAAGCAGCAGGGGCAGCAGCATCGGCTGCCTCAAGCGCAGCAGCAGCAGCAACGCCAATGCGAAATCAGCAGCCACTCTCCCTGACGCTGCAAGCCCAGCGAGTGCCGCCTAGGGATTCCAACGAGCATGTCCTACAGGAGGCGCATCAGCCTTCGCGGTGGGGGCACCAGTCGGGGCAGCATCAGCAGATGCTGCAGCAGCTGCTGCTGCAGCAGAAAGATCTGCAGCAGCAGCAGCAGCAGCAGCAGCAGCAGCAGCACTCCCTGCTCTCGCGAGCAGCTGTAAGCTTGGGTTTCCCTCTTGAGCCGCGCAGGACGCCTCGTCCTGTTTCTGGCAGTGCACCTCTCCCCAGTACAGGTGTACATACAGCTGATGCTCCGGCAAACCTTTCGCTGGACGCAATATCGTCCTCGCCAGCTTCAGTAGCAGCAGCAGCAGCGAGGCGTGCAGTCGGTCTAGGTGGAGGGGTGGTTCCTCGAATGACGGGGTTTTTGCCCGCTGGATCCTCTGGCTGCAGCTGCGAAATGCCTGTGCATGCAGCCGCAGCTGCAGCCAGCCAAGTGCTGCATGGCGAGGGCGGCTCAAGCACTCCTTGCAGCTCTGCATGTCTGCCGAATCTCCTCACATCCGCCGCATTCTCCATTCGCTCGAATGCAGGGACGAAGCGGGAACATCTGCCAAGCGGCTTCGAAAGGAGGGCAGTGGAAAGCAGCTCCTGCATGCCTTCACCCTCCACCCCAGTGCAGTTGCAGCAACACGTGCAGCTGCAGCAACACGTGCAGCTGCAGCAACACGTGCAGCTGCAACAGCCCCTTGTGCCACCCGTGTATGCAGACGCTGCAGCAGCTGTCGAGATGTTGCAGGCAGCCAAGACGGGGGAGCAGCACAGGCAACGGCAAAGGCAGCCACGGCAGGAGACACTGCTCATGCAGACGGCTGAAGGATCTGTGGCTATCCAGGATACTGAAGGCGCAGTGCATGCGCTGCAGCAGCAGCTAGAAGACTTGCAGCTCCAGCTGCGGCGACTGCAGCAGCACAGTCCGCTGCTGCAGCCTCTGTTACAAGGCAATGCTGCGCAGCTGCTGCAGCAGCAACACCACCACCGTGAGCATCCAGAGCAGCAACAACAACACCATGAGCATCCAGAGCAGCAGCAGCAACAACACCATTACCACCACCATGAGCATCCAGAGCAGCAGCAGCAACAACACCACCACCACCATGAGCACCCAGAACAACAGCAGCAGCAACAACACCACCATCACCACCATGAGCAACCAGAGCAACAACAACACCACGATCACCACCATGAGCACCCAGAGCAGCAGCAGCAGCAACAGCTGTTGCTGCCGCCTCCGTCACGGACGTGCAGCGACACTGCATGCGAGTCTTGCAGGGTGCTGCCTGATTTTGCTGCCGATGCGTTGCTACTAAAGCAGCAACTGGGTGACTTGCTGCATCGTCTTCACAGCACTGGGGCAGCAGCAGCTGCTGTTGCTCCCCCCGCTGCTGTTTCAGAGGCATCCAGTGCAACTCGGCAACAGGCACACCATCACCTGCTTAAGCTTCAGGGGCAGCTCCAGAAGCAGGCTGTAGAGCAGCAGCAACAGCTGCAGCAGCAGCAGAAGTTGCAGCAGCAGCAAGTTCAGATGTCTGTTCAGGTTGGGGAGCTAGGAAACTGGCATGCAGCGTTTCAGAGGCAATTTGTGGAGCAACAAGAGCAGATTCGAGCGCTGCAGCAGCAGCTGAACGTTTTGCAGCAGCAGCAGCAGCACGTGCTGCAGCAGTTACACCAACTGCAACAGCTTGCCCAGGAAGAGAACTCCCAACTGCAGGCGGCACTGCTCTATTTTGTCACCGAGCGAACGCAGCAGAAACGTCGAGGTGCAGCAGCAACCCCACGCGCAGCGGTGGTGGCCGCTGCTGCTGCTGCTCTTAAGAGGACGCATGCAACGTCTGTGCGAGCCGCGGAGGGATTCTCGCTCGAGGCGTGCTCCCAACAGCAGCAACAACAAGGCTTGTTCTCGCCTACCAGTAGTGTAGCGAGCAGCGCAGCAAGCAGTTGTGTGCCTACAGCAACTACAGCGGCAACAAGGGAAGGCGACGGGCTGGAGCGGCAGTATGCACGGGGTCAAAAGCAGCACGACAAATGGAAATTAGGAGCAGATACAGCAGCAGCGCCACCGACCACACACACTGGACGCCCCTCTGCAGATAACACAGCAGGGGGGGCAACGCTAGCAAGGCAACGCCTAAGCAGTGGCAGTAGAAACCGAGTTCCCAGTGTATGCATCTCGGATAGTGACTAGTGTGACGTTCAACCACCGCCTTGTAAATTAGATAGGCCATGCGCAAGAATCGCGCGTTCAAGTGGCACTACACCGCAGCACGCAGATTCCCTTCCCGACGAGTGGACTGTCGTTTGTCGCAGCTCCCGCTAAGGCCCCAAGATTCATGCGGTCCTTGCTGCGTGATTTGATCGTCCAGAGTTGTGAGCAGCCGATCGAGGCGTCCACGCATGCTGCCTACCTCGAATGACGCGGCGCAACAGGACTGCCTCAGGGGAAGAGCATGCACATTAAGCTGCAGTTCAAATAGGCGAAGGAATGCGTAGACACACCAGGCTTTTTGAAGAGATTCTTAGCAGCGACTTCGGCTAAAACGTAGGCCGGAGCGCCACGAGGAGGGGCATCGGGTTAGGTGCAGCGCCTTGCGATGAGCTACTGGAATGCATGCACCGCTCGTTCGGACGCGGTGTGTGATGGCTGCCGACATAGGGTTTAGACTCCGAAGCCTGGCTTTTAGGGATATAGGCTTGTTTTTACTTGGCGGAGGAAACGCTGCCTGCGTCGTACCGCTTGTCCTATAGCGGCTTGCGAACTGACTCCAGGGATGCCTTGCGGCGTCGGAAGTTACACCTGACTACAAAAGGGGGGTGAAAACCACTATTATGCCAATCATATTTCTAGAAGAGGTGTCATAGGTGGAATATCGCCTAAGAAGGTTCGGATACGGTGTTAGGAGCAGTTGCTCTTGCAACACTCTTCACTGTCTGTGGGTCGTGCGGGGTGGTTTTAGGGGGGGTTGTTGCTAGTACACGGTGCCGCTGCCATTGGTGGCGTTATGCGCAGCCGCTGGTACTGCATCGTTTTGGTTTTTCATCTTCTTTTGTTTATTAATGAACAACAAAAAGTCCATAGGCCTGCTCCTTCACTGGGGTAGTGTTGAGGCGCTCCCCAATACTTTTCTGAGCCTGCCACCCCCCTCCCTGAACTCCGTGTTCTTCTCTCCTCGGTCTCCCTTCCGGTCTCCTTCTGCCTTATTTTTCCATTCCCTTCGATTTCAGCCTCTCTAAGCTGTAAATACGGAGTTGCTCGACTCAGGCCGTATCCCCCGTTTGCGCGTAGCCTCGCCACTGGCAGCGCTCGTATCAGCAACAACAGCAGCAGCACTCCTTCTTTACAATGGAGGAGGATCTAACACCGCCGAGGCCTCGCCAGGCTGCGACGCCTCTCCATGCAACGCAGGGTGCCTCAGAAACTGAAGGGCAGAGGAGTCATCCTCAGAGCTTTCAGGCAACGCGATCACCGATATCCAGGAGGAGAGCCTGTAAGGACAGCTCGCCTTCTTCCAGCTGTTGCCGCCTTCTGTGCGGCTGTTCCTCCCCCTGCCTCGGGGTTCTTGGGAGCTTCTTCTTTCTCTACTGCATGTATATATATATGTATACATATAGAGAGAGAGACACCAACCGGCTAGGATGGATGGATATGTCTTCCGGCTCTGCAAAATCGCTTCTGCGTCTGTCTGTCTCTCTCTCTGAGAAGGGGACGGGGGGCACCTCCTTAGTTCACTCACCTCTCTCAATTCACTCACCCGTGAAAGTGCAAACACGAACTGTCGTTTGTACGGGGTGTGTATATGTGTGTGTGTGCATGTATGTATGAATGCGTGTATAAATATATATGTACATATATATGTCTGCGTGTGTTCGTGTGGATGCCGTTTCCTGTAGGGGGCAGTGGCGAAATGGGTGCAGCGAGTCAAGGGTCCTTGTTGGGGGGATCGCACGGGGGGCCCCTGGGGGGCCCCCCTGCCTCCTCGGGAGCCGCCAGCGAATACGGCGGCACTCCACTGGCTATTAGAAGAGTGCGCTTCGCAAGAGCTGATCTTGGAGACATGGGCAGAGAATTTCTCCTCCTAGATGCAGAAATGCAGCGCCTCCCCGAGCTGCCAAGGGACGTGGTGGACCCCGATATGGAGAGGCGTTTTGACGATTTTCTCAATAACTTCTGTCTCGAAGACTTCGACGGATGTAATGCGAATTCCACAATCCGTTATCCTGTGCTTATAGCGCAAAAAGCCTCGAAGTCTAAGATCTCCCTCCCGAACATCACACGCCATGCCGAGTCGTGAACAGCCAGAGCTTTCCACGCCCTTTTCTCTTTCTTTTGCCCTCTCTCTGTCTGTCTGCATGCATGCGAGCTAGTGTATGCATGCGAGCTAGTGTATGCATGCGAGCTAGTGTATGCATGCGAGCTAGTGTATGCATGCGAGCTAGTGTACGCATGCGAGCTAGTGTATGCATGCGAGCTAGTGTATGCATGCGAGCTAGTGTATGCATGCGAGCTAGTGTATGCATGCGAGCTAGTGTACGCATGCGAGCTAGTGTATGCATGCGAGCTAGTGTATGCATGCGAGCTAGTATGCCTTCAAGTCGTAGAGACACACCGTTACGAAGAGACGCATTGCCCATTGCGCGTTTCTTTCCTCGCCGCGGTGTTTCCGCCTGCGCCTGTTTCTTCCAGTGGTGCAGACTCTTGAAGAGGACTTAGAACTGGTTTCTGGAGCGTGGCAGCCGCAAGTGGATTCTTCATTCAGCATTGGCGATCGCCCCCGTGCCCTCTATCTTTTGAAGTTGCTTCGCTTTCTGGAAACGAGGGGATCGGCAGCAGCAGCGGGCGGCGCGGAGCGCCTCGCCTTTGGGGTGTCTCTACAGCACATCTACGCCTACAGTCCTCTCCTGTACACAGCCATCGTGAATGCACCGCAGGACGCCACTGCAGCCTTCGATGCGATCTTGCGCGCCAAGTTTGCCGAGCTGAGAGAGCTTCACGGCCTTTTCCAGCCTGAGACGGAGCGAGCAGCAGCTGATGAACTCTTGCTGCAACAGGTTAGCTCAGGCACTGGACCTACCAGGGTCTGCTCGTTGCGTCTTCGCGAGGAAGTGCAAAGAGTGCCTCCCTAGCCTTGCGTTAGGGCAGAAGGTCGCTGTGCTTTTGCTAGCGATGGCTTGAAAGGCCTTCTTGTACCCCTCGTCAACCCCACGCCACGCAACAACCCCTCCTCGCCGAAAAAGCGCTCGTTTTGCGATCGATTCGCTCCTCAGGCCCCCCGTCTTCGTCTGCACTCGAAGCCTCCAGCGCTTTTGGATTCCCTTCGATCTTTGGACCCCACAGTCGATGTTGAACGCCTAATTTGCTTGCGGGGAGTGGTTATTCGGGTGTCTGAAGTCATCCCTGAAATGACGCTTGCCGCCTTTCGGTGCCACGGTGAGACGCGAACGGACGTAACCGGCTGCCGCGCTGGAAGCAAAAGAAAATTCGCGAAGGGCTGGCGCACAGAGGAAAAGCGCCGTGCACACGAATCAGCCTTGTAGAAGGATATTTTCCTCGCAGCAAGGGCAGCACGCTGCTAGCTCCAAACCTAGCGGCCTTCACACCCCCATCGTCTGCTTTTAACGCCTTGCAAATCGCCAATGTCTACTTTTCTCCCCTCCCGCTCATGCGGCTTCCGCCTGTGTTTCTTCGCCGCTTGCTGCAGCAAGAGATGCGCGTGGTCAGAGCCTCTGCAGCCACGAGAAGTATGAATGCGTTCTCAACGGGGATGTTGTTCAGCCCTCACGCTGCCCAGCATGCAACGCGGCAAATTCAATGTCTTTGTGGCTGGAGCAGTGTGCCTTTGCCTCCAAACAGCTTATCAAGATCACGGAAGCTCCCGAAAATCTCAAGCCGGGAGAAACGCCGCAAAGTCTCACTGTGTATGCCTATGACGAGCTCGTCGACTCCTGCAGACCAGGCGATCGCGTTGAAATCACAGGTACGCTCTGACCTCCGATTGTGTGCAATGAATGCGTTCATCGCCTTGCAGGGAGGGGAGAAGGGTGTGAAGGGGGGGGTTGAGCAGGCAGAACAAATACTCTGATGAACCTCAGGGTGTTAATGGTGCTGCTGGCGTTACTACTGCTGCCGTCATTTGTAACGCCGTGTGGGGCCCCTCGCGGTTTTTTTTGCTGGATGTCGCATTTTTTCCTTTCTTTTTCTTTCTCTCTCTCTGTCTCACTCACTCACTCACTCACTCTCTGTATCTATCTATATATATATATCTCTATATATATATATATATCTCTCTGTCTCTCTCTCTGTCTCCGTTTTTCCCTCCTCCGCAAGACAACGGCGAACGGCTGCCTCCTCGAAGCCGCTGTGATATTTTTGTTTGGCTCTCAGGCATCTTCAAGGCTTCTCCCATGCGCGTAAACCCCCGCATGCGGATGCAGCACTCCGTGTTCAGAACATACGTCAATCTGCTGCACGTCATAAGGGACGAACGCGATAAGGCCACCCGTTCCAGCGCCGTTGCTGCTGCTCAGCAACAACAACACCAGCAGCAACAGCGAGAAGAAGAAAGCGTCAGCTTTTCTCCTGACCTCGAGAGACAAATCGTTGAGCTCTCGCAGCAGCCCGTAAGACGCACCGCAGCCACGACAGGCAGCTCAGCAGTAGCAACAAAAGTTGCAAAAGCAGCAAAAGCAGCACACCACCTCCTGTGTCTTCGTGTGGACAGCTGCTGCCTTTGAACGCTCCCGAAGGAGAGAGGCTTGCCTTTCCATCACCAGCATGCATGCACTTTTGCTGCTGATGCCGTCCATAATACTGCGTTCTGTTCGCAGGATATCTACAACTTATTGGTGTCTTCACTGGCACCGTCGATTGTTGGAAGGGATGACGTCAAGAAAGGCATTCTCTGCCAGCTCGTTGGCGGCTCACGGCTGCAACAAGAGTCGGAGCAGCAGCTTCAGGCGAGGCAGCAACAAAGGCAATCACTCCACAGAAGCGAGCTTCACGTGCTCCTCTGCGGTGATCCCGCAACTGCAAAGTCGCAACTTCTTCAATATGTCCATCAGATTGCACCGAGGTACGAAGAGAGGGGTTGTTGTCGGGGGGGGGGGGAGAGGAGTTCACATCTTTTCTTCGAACGCAAGAGATCCCCGCTTCAGAGACTATCGCGCTAGCATGCATGTTTATGTGTATGTGTGTCTCTGTGTATGTGTCTTTGTGTGTATGTGTCTTTGTGTGTACGTGTCTTTGTGTGTACGTGTCTTTGTGTATGTGTCTTTGTGTGTGTGTGTCTCTGTGTATGTGTCTTTGTGTGTACGTGTCTTTGTGTGTATGTGTCTTTGTGTGTACGTGTCTTTGTGTGTACGTGTCTTTGTGTGTATGTGTCTTTGTGTGCATGTGTCTTTGTGTATGTGTCTTTGTTTGTACGTGTCTTTGTGTGTACGTGTCTCTGTGTATGTGTCTTTGTGTGTATGTGTCTTTGTGTGTATGTGTCTTTGTTTGTATGTGTCTTTGTGTGTATGTGTCTTTGTGTGTACGTGTCTTTATGTATGTGTCTTTGTGTGTATGTGTCTTTGTGTGTATGTGTCTTTGTGTGTGTATGTCTTTGTGCATGTGTCTCCCTGTGTATGTGCCTCTGTCTCTGTGTATGTGTGTCTCTCTGTATGTGTCTTTGTGTCTCTGCGTATGTGTATTTGTGTAGTGTGTCTGTCAGTCTGTCTATCTATCTCTGTGTGTATGTGTATGCATTGTGTCAGTGTCTTCTCGCCCCTTTTGCACTCTCGTTTGTTGCTGCCCTTGCTGCTGCCCTTTGTTGCAGGTGTGTATACACTTCAGGCCGCGGGAGCAGCGCCGTGGGCCTCACTGTTGCGGTGTCTCGGGATCCTGACACGCGCGAGTTTGTTTTAGAGAGTGGAGCAGTTGTTCTGGCAGATGGCGGCGTCTGCTGTATCGACGAATTCGATAAAATGGAGGAAAACGCAAGGTAAAGGGCCTTGCTGTTGACTCCCAAACTCCGCTGATGAAGCAACAACGGGCAGTAATGGGTAAAGTAAGAAAGCTGTATTTTATGAATATCTATATGGATGTATATATCTGTATATCTGTGTGTGTGTATATCTGTGTGTGCATGTATGTTTATGTTTACATATATATATATATGTGTGTATATGTGCATGCATGCATGCATGCATGTACAAAAAGGTGTCAGCATGTGTTTGTGGGAGTTCTTGGTGCGTGTGTATCAGGGCTATTCTGCATGAAGTGATGGAGCAGCAGAGCGTCACTGTGGCGAAGGCTGGCATTGTAGCTTCCCTTAGAGCACGTACAGCTATCCTGGCATCTGCGAATCCCATCAACTCGCGGTATGCTTTGCAAAGCTCTTTGTTTCCTCACATTTTCTGCGTCTCTCGTGAACGTATTTGTGCCTGCCTGTTTCTTGATTCTCCTGTGTGTGTTTGTGTTTGTCTCCTCAGATACGATCGCCAGCGCGCGGTTGTCGAAAACATCAACCTTCCACCATCTCTTTTCTCGCGATTCGACTTGATTTACCTCTTGTTAGATACGGCATGCCCCGTAGCAGATAGAACACTTGCTGCCAAGCTGTGCAGATCCTTCGCTGGTGGCGCTAGTTCGGTCAGTTGGCACTTTTCTTGCCTCGAGCTGCTATTCCTGCTGCTATTATTGTTGCTATTACTGCTGCTATTATTGTTGCTATTATTGTTGCTATTATTGCTGCTATTATTGCTGCTATTATTGCTGCTACTGCTGCTGCTATTACTGCTGCTATTGTTGCTATTATTGCTGCCACTACTGCTGCTGCTATTATTGCTGCAATTATTGCTGCTATTACTGCTGCAATTATTGCTGCTGTCACCGCATGGGCAAAGGGGGAAAGGTCCCTCTTGCTGCGACCATTCCATCGCTCGCATTTCCAGTGAAAATTTCGCCGCTCGCCGCATGCACACGTTTCAGCCCAGTGAAGGACATGTATGTATATCTATTTTTCTACCCCTGCTGTGCACTCGTGTGGCTGCTGCGCGCCGTCTTCAGGAAGAAGAGGCCCGTCCCCCAATAAGCAAGAGTCTGCTTGCCTCGTATCTAGCATACTGTCGATTTCGATGTCAGCCGAGACTGTCTCTTGCTGCACGCGATGCCCTTCGGACGGAGTATCTGCGAATGCGAAGACGTGACACGTCCAGCAAGTCTGTCCTTCAGTCCTCCCCCCTTAGACCGTCGATGCGCTGCAATGCGAGGCTTTCTCTCTCCGGCTTGCCTGGCACGCATGCATATGCGTAGTTCACAACAGAGGCAGTCGAGCACTTGTCCGCTCCTCTTCTTCCTCCTCCTCCTCCTCCTTCTCTTTCTCTCTCTCTCTCTCCCTCTCTCTCTCCCTCTCTCGATCTCTGTCTCTGTCCACAGTGTAACTCTCGTTGGTCGCCGTGTCACTAAAACATAAAATAAGAATCAATAATACTATGCTACTCGTCTCTATACAAAACAAGACAAATATAAT